TCTCAGTTACATATTTGAAAACTGTCATGCATCCAAGCCTCTGCGCTCGATTTTCTGGTTCTGCATAGCATTTCTCGAGCGTCGGACATTGCGGATCATTTGGTGCACAGGATTTCGGGTCGAACTTCTGAAAATCATATTTCTAAAACGCACTTTATTCGAACCATCAAAGGTTTACAAATGGTGATAGCAACTGGAGGCATAGGAAATAAAAACATACCTCGCAGTAAATGAACGGCCTTCCATCATCCAAGTCGTAGTTCAGTCCCAGCTGTCCATAAACTCGTGCCATATACTGCGGATCGTAGCGAACGGATGCATTCTGAAAACTTTGACATCAACTGACAGAGGATAGAATACAAAAACGAGCTTGGAGCTAGATATTCGAAAAAGGACAAAAGAGAGATCCTCTGGCTAGAAGGAAAAATTCAGACTGATTTGTTTTGTGAAATTTGGCTTTTTACAGCAATTTGCACAGCCCTACAACGACTATTCACAAAGAAAAGTTTATCTCCTCAAACAATGCTCCCCTGGCTTCGTATTCTCCATAATATAATGCTTACGAAAACTGTCTCAAAGCTACAAATCGTGGATCTGATGTCTAGCCTACCTGGCGATTTAAGAAAAGCTAAGCTATAAAAAATTGTATCTACTTACTAATTGTATCTAATTTCGATACAGAAGCTACTTATGCATGACGCAAGAAGTTTTGTTGGGGGACAAAATAACATGGGTGGAGTGTTTTACAACGTATCTGTCTAATGGCTTCATAACATAGCAACACACTTTAGAGCGGACCCCAGAGGACCAATAAGGTACGTATTTGCCGACGCTGATTGGAGCGCTCTGAAAGAGCCTATGGACGAGTCAAGATGAATTTACATCGCATTTGTGACTAATGAGCCATTTGGGTAATGGCCCAATTAGCACTTCCCAATCAGTAGTAACATAATAGGCCTAGGTACGAAATTCGCATGTAAATTGCATCTCGACTGGCTCATTGTTCATCCCAATCATAATCTTATTTTTGGCAGGAACGATTGATTTGACGACTGAGGCTTCGAGCAGAGTTCAAGCGATTTCATCGCCTCGCGAGTCTCCCAACAAGACAACTTCTACGAGTTCATTGCATGCCGGTCATCTTGCGTTTCGGTTACGATAGTTTTCCGACACGACTAATAGTGACTAACTGTCAC